CTGAAGCCTTGATTTTCTCTTTTTACTTTAAACAACCACAAGACAAAAGTTTGATGTTCCTGACATTATAATGCAGTAGAAGGGATTTCTAGAGAAGGCATGAGTCATTCACAAGCCTTTTGTAGGCTTGGATAAGTATTTTAAAATGTAAATTCTGAACAGTTTTATGTATGAACAATTTAAGAGAGATCTGTAACTTACAAGCAGTTTTTATATCCACAGTATCTTTAGAAGGCTGAGTATAATTAACAAGGCCACCACACAATAATTTCAAAATCTACTGATAATTTAAGGTCCTCTGTGACCTTAAAAAGAAACATGATACTCTTGATATTATGCTTGCAAATGAAAGTAATACTTGAGATATTAAAAATTATATAGTAATAATATTTTTTAATCAATGAAACTATAGAAAATAAACTTTACTGTGAGAATCATGAAAGACTGGAGCAGGTTGCCCAGAGATGTGGTGAATGCCTCTTCCCTGGAAGCGTTCAAGGCCAGGGTGTATGGGGCTTTGAGCAATCTGGTCTAGTGGAAGGTGTTCCTGCCCATCCATGGCAGGGAGGTGGACCTAGATTATCTTTAAGTTCACTTCCAACCTAAGCCATTCCATGATTCCACTAAACCTGAAGTCCAGCCCTTGCCTGTTTAGTGGGAATTACCCATCACTGAGCAGTGACAGTAGATGAACATCATAAACACACGTAAACTGCTTCAAAATTCAAATCAGAACTTAACTATTTTGATATTAAAAATATGCCCCACCTAAAATAATAATATTAAACATGAAACCCAAAAGTGGATACTAAATATAGACTGCTGAGCAATTTTTAATAACAGTGTAAAAACCAAATATTCTGGATGCTGTATATTTTTTAAATAATATTATTTTTAAGTTCTCAGGTAATGATTGAGGAATGTAACTTGACAATCTGGCTCTGAAACAGTTTTTAGTATTTATCTATGTCACACAAACACCTTCACACTTGTGCCCCCTTGCTCAATATTAATTCTTGTTTGCTTCTTTGCTAGCATTAATTTCCAGTACAACCTGTACTTTTTTCTTTGTGTGTGAAATGGAATGTAGATTGTGACTGCAAGGTATATCACAAAGGAAAAACTGAAATAACAAATTTTTGATACATAAATGAAATTATATTCTACTATTCAGCCATGGTAAGATTCAACCATAAAAAATAGCACCTGAGCTATCTTGATGATGGTATGGATGGTATTTCAGTTTGGATAATAGTGTGCTATTTTGAGAACTCATGTTCCAGGAAGAGGAATAGGCACAGGAAATAAGAGTCAGGTTGTCTAGCTATCATATGAAAGCAGATTAGAAACCTACAGCTTTAGTTTACCAAATGAGATCCAACAGGGAAAATGATTGCAGCCTATAAGAACAGAAGGGGATAAAATCAGGAACTAGATAAAATTGAATTACAACTCAGTCTTAGAACAAAAATAAATAAACTAAATGCAAATGCAGGAATTTGAAGAACTTAAAGTTGCCAAGCATTAAGGAGCAAAGAGAAAACCTTTCAGTCAGAATAATGAGAGAAAAAAAAACCCTTTAAGTACTTTCAAGACAGAGTTCAATATGTTTCAAAGGGATTATGTGATCTGCTATCTATATATCTATCCTTTTAAACCCTGTCTCCTAATCACAAGTCAATTACAATTTCTTAAAAACTAAAATGTGATATTTCTTTTCAACACCACAAGTTCTGTTCTCAAAATGTCTTAGTGAAAAATTCACAACAAGAACACTTACGTATTCATGACCAGAAATGAAGCAATTCTATTATTAGGTTATTTCACATTATATGTAATGCATAAATGCTGTTTAATATCATGCCATTGTGCAGCAAAAAGGAACACACTTTCCTTCCCCAAATACACCTAAAATAATGTAATTACCTCTTAACTTATATTAACATAATCACCTAATCACACTGTTGATTGTTTCATTTTACTTTAACATTTGGCTCTATGTATTTACTGAATGTTAATGAACACATTAATCTTCACTTTTCCAAAGTAGTCCTACCTTTTTTTCTAATTTTCAGCAAATGGTTCCTTGCTGAATACAAGACTATTCACTTGCTTGTGAAAGCATTTTCAAACAAATCCTGTTAATTCTGAATATGGTTCACTAAGCAGCATGATCTCATTAATAAAACAAGTTGCTAATCTAGTAAATCAAAATCCTCAGCACTTTTAACTGTTTACCTAATGGAAATTCTAGTGATCTTTTCTGTCAGCCTCATAGAAGCCTAATACTGTTCAAACTAGACCCAGAAAAATAAAGAACCAATGAAGAGAATGGGAACAGGGCAACTTCAGACTAAACAGTCTTTAACAAATAAATGTTAACTAATATTGGGTCTACATTCTTGAGATTATTTGGAATATTTACACAGTATGTGAATTTTTGTTAGAAAAGTAGCTTTATCTGTTGTACTGAACTAAATGAAATACTTGAGAGACAAATTCATGTGACCCTGCGATTTTTAACACAAGGGAAAAAGAAGACAGAAAAAGCTTGATGGACTGCAGAAAGAAAAACTTGGTAGAGATACATCCTGCAAGCGTATGTTCAAAATGTTCTCATATATTTCATGAGAAAATAACAAATGGATAACAGATGAGAAGGAGGCTAGGTCAAAGGGAAACGTAAAACAGAAGTAGTCTTTTTCCACACTGAAATCTAAGCTTCTGAATAACAAGGTATTATCTCAGAGTCTGCCAGTGGGATGTTCAATTCATTATGAACTTCTTTCTCAGTGATGACAAGAAAATAATGTTTCTAATCTGTTTGGATTGTGAAATGTGCTACACACTCAGTGTACTTTTAACATCTATGATACAGCTTACCTTGGTCTGGGTGCTTTGAAAAATCAATGTCTTCTCAGAAAGAAAATGTTTTAGAAAGTTATTAGAAAAAAAGATTCAATTGTTTTTTCCACAGATCTGCTTTGTTTTTTCTAAGCGCTTATTTGAAGCTGCTCAAGGATACTAAGGGCAGAGGCAAAGAGAAGAAAAGGTAAGGCTTTCTGACACTATATTACTATTTGTTACATAGATACTCATGACTTACTTTGGTATTTTATATGTTTTTCAAATAAATGCTTAAAACTGGGAGACAGAGAAAGGGAGATGAAATTTCAGTGGAAATACACAAATTCTGCTACCCTTTACATACATAATAAAGAACATCTTAAATTCCTTGATGATTGCTCTAGTTTTGAGTGGGATAGAGTTAATTTTCTTCCTAGTAGCTGGTGCAGTGCTGTTTTTCAGCTTTAGTCTGAGAACAATGCTGATAACATACCGATGTTTTAACTATTGCTAAGTAGTGCTTACCCTGATCAAGGATTTTTCGGTCTCATTCTCAGCCAGTAAGGAGGGGCACGGGAAGCCAGGAGGAAGCAGAGAAAGACACCTGACCTAAATTAGCCAAAGGGGTATTCCATCTCACAGAACGTCATGCCCAGTATATAAACTGGGGGGAGTTACCTGGAAGGGACCGGCTGCTGCTCAGGTCAGGATGGGTGTCAGCCAGTGGATGGTGAGCAACTGTATTATGCATCACTTGTGTTTATTGGGGTTTTTTCCCCCTTTCTCATTTAGTTTTATATTCTCTGTCCTTATTATTATTAGTAGTAGTAGTAGTAAATTGAACTTTAACAATTAACTGTTCTTATCTCAACCTACAGGTTTTACATTGTACTGACTCTCCTCCTCTTCCCATTGGGGAAGGAGGAAGGGAGAAGAGGGGGAGTGAGTGAGCCAGAGGCTGCATGGTCCTGAAATACTGGCTGGGCTTTAACCACGACGACGACATCCTATTTTGTCAGCCAGATCTTAAACTCCTTTGCTGTTCAAAGCATTCATAGTCATTTGCAGAAAAATATTTACCTGCTATTTTAACTGCTTCAGCTTAATGTATTACTTAACAGTTATATCTTTATTTTTACACTTGTACGGCATGATTTGGTTTCCTTTTCAGTTCAGTGATTTTACAGTCAATAAATAGCAGCCTGACTCTTAAAAAGTTGACATTAAAAATTAAAAAAAGGGACACAAGTTGTTTGTTTTTTTTTAACTGTAGGCCAAAAAGTAGATTAGTTTTGCTTTCAAAATAAAACTGCACCTTTAATATTAGATAGACCTTATTTCTTTCAACCTGAAATCCAGTAATTCAATCCAGCAATTCATATGTACAAATGCCTATAAGTTTAACGGATCTTTTTTCTTATGCATAAGTAGTAATTTAAAGCATCAATCCAGAGTCTAGTCAAATCATGTTAATCAGGTGAACCTATCGAATTACAAAACATCAGTTTAGAATTAATTCTTCATACCCATTACCACTTCAATCATACAAGAGGGAAATGAAATAAAACTACCAAGAAACTAGAGACATTATTGTCCTTATGATCCTCAAAAAGTCTGGAAGATGAAAAGCATACAAATTGGAACTGGACATATAGGAACTAAATAGTTATTCTGTCACACTGCATTTCACAAAAAGCATCCTCAAGGTTCTTTGATTAAAACATGAAACAGGCAAAATAAGTGATACTGGTAAGATGCAGTTCATGGAACATCTCTGGTTCCATATACAGCTTGTATAGCTTGTTCCTTGTACAGCTCAATGGTTAATCACATTTCTTCCACAAGTTTTTAAAATTAAGTCTGATACTTCTGCTGGTCATAAGTATCAAATAGAAATTAGCACTTTAAAGAAAGACCAAAGATTTAACCACAGAAGTACCACAATAAACCATGTTATCTTTTTAAAAAATGTTTTTTTAAAACAAACTACTGAAATTTTTTAGTTAACAAGGACATTGAAAATATTTGACCAAAATTACCACTGGACACCTAGAAATCCTCCTTAAATGAACTGCAAAACTATGAAGAGTATCCACACCTGCAAATTTCTATTCACTGCAGAAAAAACAGGAAATCGGTTAATCAAATCATACCTGGAGAAATTGGCTGGTTTTCATATGACCCACATCTCCAGCCTCTATCTGCGCTCTTGACAGCTTCTCTTCAGTTTCAGACAGCCAATGATTAAAGCCTTTCATGTCACAATGAAAAAGCCGCCACTTTTCCAAAGATTTGTCAAACCGTCTGAAAGTATAAAAGAAGATCAAATGACTCTTTAACTGCCTATTGATACTTTATTCACATACTGACTACAGACAAAAAAAGAAAGTAAAATAATTATGTTGGATCTCTCAGTTTAGATTTGGTATGATCTTGATGGGATCATGTAGTAACATTTCTAAATGTTACATCAAATGGAAACAAGGTAGTATTTCTGAACATTCTGAAGTTATCATTAAGCATATGTGTCATAAATCAGTGTCTTACTGATTTTTTAATCCTTTTCAATATTTCAAATTAATTCCATGGTTAAAACACGTTTTCAATTTACACCTTCATTAAGCCATACTAACTCACGTCATAGCTACAACACCCACAGGCCCCAGTGTAACTGGGTATATCTCTGTCAATGTACTTAGATTCTAGCATGAAAAAAAAACACCAGTGCTGATAAAAGGCTCCTAATGCTCCTTAGTAATTTGCTGTAGCTACGAACACTGCAAACAGTCACTGTTGACTAACATACTGGCTATGTGTTATGTCTATTAAATGATTTTTAGACCCCTTTTCAAAGAGAAAATAGTTTAAAATATCTGTGGTATGTCTGACCTACCATATCATAAGACAAAGGATAAAAAATCAGTAGACAGATTCTTAAATCCTTACTTCCAAACATGAAAGGATGATTAAAGGATTTTATTTTGGTAGAAAAATGAACTGTAATATTATATGTAACAGAGATGCAAAAGATTACTATTTTTTTAATGGAAACTGCTGTAATGAGAGACTATACCAAAGTATTCTAGTCCTATACTACAATTCAGCTCTAGTTTTATTGAGAGAAACTTATTTTGTCAGCCTTTCAATGGATACAAATGTCCATTTATCATTATTGCAAAGAAAATGCAGCTCTCTTCAAAAGGAATTCTACTTGTATTGTGTAAAAGGACCCTTTATTAAAGCCTTCTATGTATGTTTCATTTCAAGTATTTGATAAACATGCAGAAATATAAATGCCTGAAATACAAGGATGCTTGACACAAAACATATTAAAAATATGGTTTTGTACAATAAGCAAGAATGACAAATATTACTACCATGTATGCAAGTCTACAGTCCACTACATAAAAAGTTGTGTGAGTGCTTCTGGCACTTTGGGAAGATATACTCTATTTTTGTCCAGAGTGACTGATTGATCTTCTGGTTCAAGATCTGTTTGCCTTAGCCACTGCCAAATACTAAAGAAACGAAGACAGATTTTGGTGTTTTTTTGTTTGTTTGTTTTGTTTTTTTTTTTTTTTTTGTTTTTGTTTTTGTTTTTGTTTTTTTTCTGATGGAATAGTCTTAATGAATTCAGTTATCCTATGTTTTCAGTTGCTGTCAAATGTGATCGTTAATCAGAGATTAGCTAAAATGTTTTGTTAGCAGATCATAATTAAACATGCTACTGTTGTTTAGGTTACTAATCCTCCTTTATGTGATTATAATAGGTTTTAGGGTGTACTTAAAGAATAAAAACAAAGATGGTGAATTATTTTTCTAGGAAGTAATCTGGTTCTGAATAGAAAAAACTCATTGTTTGAATGTTAAAGAGTTTAATTCACCAAATAAAATCACATTACTATCAGAGAATACAGATGATGTCTTTCATTGTAATGATGACTTAAAAATTTTTAGAAGAAAATATAAGCAAACAGACTATAGATCCTTTAAAAGTTGTAGTCACTTACCTAACTTATTTATTAAAATGATTGTGATCATTTATGCTGCTTATCATACTTTATTTTTCAAAACTAGTCAAACAATAATCAAAAGGCACACTATAATTTTTTTATTTTTTTTTTAAACAGCTTGCTCTGAACTACAAGGAAAAAAAATATTTTACATTGTAAAAAATCACACAGGAAATAAAAGTTAAAATCGATTTCTTTTGGTCCAGTATGCACTCTGATTTTGGACATTACATTAAAACAGCTTTCCTCCCTTTCCTCACAAAATGAAATTACTCTTCTCAGCATGAGGAAGTTTATCAGCAGCTTAAATGCAAATATGCAGTAGGGGTTGATATTAGTAACATTGAATTTGCATTCCAGCACTTGCAAATTGAATCTCCTGTCACTCTCCATTATCCATCCCTTTGCTCTGGATATTAAGAGTTGCGAGGAGAAGAGAGAGGGAAGTTGCAGTGGGAAGATACGCATATTTAAAACTCACAAGTTTAAATACCAGTGTTTATTACTCATGTCTTAAGAAAACTTGTTGCTTTCAGTATAGTATGTATAAACTAATACTAAGTATCAGTAAAAAATAGAGGAGATTTATGGAAGACAAATCCAATAAATTGCAATGGTCTTTCAGTGATTAACTGTACTTAACATTGTAACTTATTGTTACAAAGATTAGAGAAGATACAGTTGTTGCTGTAGTGGCAGATGCAGGTCCATTCAATACGAGGGGTGAAAGGGGACATCACCGTGCAGCTTTATGCTCACATTGTGTTATGGGATACCTCTCCCAGGTATACCTAAGAGAGATTCCCCTGCTAAATCTGTGTATTAAATCCTTTTACATACACTACTACTTCAGATACCTTTTTAAAATTAAAAAAAAAAAAAAAGCCAAAGAGGCTTTTGTCTATCGTTTACAATCCTGTCACCATGTGGCAAATTCAGAACCCACAAAAGGAGAAGGCTAATTAACTACAAATGCTGAGCAGCTAAGTTGCTGCACAGGAGAAAGTAGATGGTAAAAATTAATAACTGAATTCATAAAAGACGGATGTTCTGAGGTCTATAAAAACTCAGAAAGGCTATGTCTGTTGCAGGAATCCTCAAGCACATAGTTGCGTGGTTATGAAAGTGTCATTACAGACCTTGCCTTTTGCATACTTTTGCCTGGGGATCCACCCTTATCTGCTGTCATGGACAAGCCATTGAGCTAAAAAGCCCCAGTATATCCATTTGTTTGTATCTTTACCTTCTTAATTCCTTTCCCTTTGATGGGTGTAAGTGAAAGTAAGTGGTGTGGATAGTAGGTGATTGTCTGATATTTCAGCAGTTTTTCCTCTTTGATGTGTCCTCTCATATTTTTCTGAGCATATGCTCGATAAGAAGTTACAAGAGGGCACCATGAAGCCAAGCATTAGGTTCCATACAGACTCCAGATGAGAATGTATGACTTGTATACATTACAAAGGGTGTAAGCATTGTACATGAGCTCTGACATGTAGTGAGGTAACCTTATTTCTCTAACATGATATGGGCTGACAATTTAAAAACATATGGAACACTGGCATTATCTTTTTCTATAGACACTGACACACCAGCAGGAAAAGTGTTAATCAATGACTTGAGGGTGTGATTTCTTTTTTCTCTTTAGCACATAATAGATTTGTTTTGCCTTTGGAAACCAAGAAAGTAAAAAGGCAACCAAAGACAACTGCTGAGCTAATATGCACAATTCACATTAAGTCATAAAAATATTGGTAATTTCCTTTCTTCAAAGATTATCATTTTACTAAACCTTTGGACTTGAATAGCTATAAGCAAAATTTAATATTCTTTGTTAGCACTGTACATGATATTGCACAATGAATTACAGATGACAATTTAGATATGCTGTCAGTGGAACTCTATACAATGGGACTGAACTTGATGTTCTGTGTCCCAAAGTTGCAATTTTAAATAAGCTATGCAGAGGCATCAGGAAAAACCTTTGAATATGATTCTATGCTTCTATGATAATACACAAAAGTCACAAACATGAGAAGGATTACAAAAGGTTATTGGCTTGTTGTTGTAAACCAAATCTTAATTTTGCATTGTGTTTCAATTAATTCCTTGATATTTTGATAACATCCCTTCGTAAACTAGGAAACCCACTTCTGTGATACATTCTGCTTTAGCAAAACTTCACAGTCAGTCAGCCGCATGAAAAAAAAACATGAATAGTTATAAACTTTCCTAAAAGCCATTATTTATATCTTGGAAATTACTATTGTTAGAGACATACAATCTTATTAATCATATTCATAGAATCATAGAATAATTAGGGTTGGAAAGGAGCTTAAGATCATCTACTTCCAACCCCCCTGCCATGGGCAGGGACACCTCACACTAAACCATATCACCCAAGGCCTTGTCCAACCTGGTCTTCAACACTGCCAGGGATGGAGCATTCACAACCTCCCTGGGCAACACATTCCAGTGCATCACCACCCTAACAGGAAAGAATTTCCTCCTTATATCCAATCTAAACTTCCCCTGTTTAAGTTTGAACCCGTTACCCCTTCTCCTATCACTACAGTCCCTAATGAAGAGTCCCTCTCCAGCATCCCTATAGGCCCCCTTCAGGTACTGGAAGGCTGCTAGGAGGTCTCCACACAGCCTTCTCTTCTCCAGGCTGAACAGCCCCAACTTCCTCAGCCTGTCTTCATACGGGAGGTGCTCCAGTCCCCTGATCATCCTTGTGGCCCTTCTCTGGACTTGTTCCAACAGTTCCATGTCCTTTTTTATGTTGAGGACACTGGAACTGCACACAGTACTCCAGGTGGGGTCTCACAAGAGCAGAGTAGAGGGGCAGGATCACCTGCTGGCCACACTCCTTTTGATGCAGCCCAGGATATGGCTGGCTTTCTGGGCTGCAAGCGCACAGTGCTGGCTCATGTTCATTTTCTCATCAACCAACACCCCCAAGTCCTTCTCTGCAGGGCTGCTCTGAATCTCTTCTCTGCCAAACCTGTGGCTGTGCCTGGGATTGCTCCGACACAGTGTAAGACCTTGCACTTGGCATGGTTAAACTTCATGAGGTTGGCATCAGCCCACCTCACAAGCATGTCAAGGTCCCTCTGGATGGCATTCCTTCCCTCCAGGGTATCAACCGAACCACACAGCTTGGTGTCATCAGCAAACTTGCTGAGGGCACACTCAATCCCACTGTCCATGTCAGCGATGAAGATGTTAAACAAGACCGGTCCCAACACCGATCCCTGAGGAACACCACTCGTTACTGGTCTCCAGCCAGAC